ATTGTGCGTGGCCTTAGACAGTGAGCACGTTTCAGCTTGGGGAATGGAGAATACTGTTGGTTATATTCAACTTTTGAAATTGATTTTTAGATTTCTAAAGCTCTGAAGTACTTTGTTGTTGCTGTTTGTTTTGTAGCTGTGTATTTTAAATCTCTGCATAAGCCTTAGTATTGTTCTTACTATAACTTTTCACAAACAATTGTGGAGCTAATAACTAAGCTGATACAATTTGATATTTTATAAGTTAAATTATTGAGAAAACATCATTGCACAGTTATCTAGTCAAATGTATTTTGAGTTTAAGATGAAATTTTTTTTAAAAGGCTTAAAAATGCTTAGTATACTTTCATGGTAGTTTCAGTGGTAATAATAGTATAGTAATTTTCAGCTTGACAAAAATACAGTCTATAATCTTTTATCATGCTTAAGCCTTTGGAAGTTGAAAATACTCATCTGACAGGTCTTTAGACAAATGGAGTTGTGGTATTTGTATAAAGAAGATCTAAAAAACCTCCACCTTCCATGGCATCAACTCTTCTGAGAGACTCATCCATTCCAGGCCCTGGGACTGCTGGGTGCCCTGCCATAGGAAAGATAACCTTCTCTATGGAAAAGTAATTAAAAACAAAACAAAGCAAAACCCCCTGAAGCCCTGCTGCTTTGCTTTGATTCTCTTCTGCCATTTCTCATCTGGTTTTAGTTTACTTAGACTATAAACTTCTCAGAGGAGCACTTATTGCCTCTTATTTTGTGAAAAGTCAGCGTTGCCTTGCTGCTGGAGCTAGAAGCTGCTTTAGGGGAGGCCTCTGTTACTGTTACCTCATTATTTTTTAAATATGGTTCTGATGTTGCTAACAATGTGTGCTTTGGCCAAGTGATGGTTGGGTTGGTATTCTTGAGTTCAGGTAGCGTGGGAACTCCTCTGAAGTACATGGAAATATTGTTTTTATTGTTGGAGAAAGCATAGGACTGATGCCCACTGTCAATTTTTCTGCAAATATCCACTAAGTGGTGGGTATTTAAGGTCTCCTGATCTGACTGAACACACCACAGAATACGATGTTCATTTTTAGCCCTTTAATAAACTTATTTTCAGTGAGGCAAATTCCTTCTCTTGAGGCTCTTAGTCTGTTTTGAGTGACAAGTTTCAGCTTGACCTTTGCTGGCTGATGATGGCCAAATTGGGAAAAGTCACTTGTACTTCAAGGGGTTCTGTAAACTGGCTTGTCTTCTTTTAACCATGTTGAAATTTATTTCAGAGGCTAAATAGATTCAATTATTGTAGTTAAAAGTAATACAGATCCCGACTGTTACAGAACAAGGCATGGTATATGTGTGGGTTTTTGGTTTAGTTAGGTTTTTTTTCCTATTTGAAGCTGTTTTCTGTTGAAGCTGTCCTTCAAACCCCTGGTCAGCTTGTCAGGCAATTCCATAAAGCCAGGAAAGGTGTTCATGGCTCTCTGGATAAACTGGGAAGATTCTGGGGTTGGAGCCAGGCTGGTATGAGAACTTCTCTTCCAGTGTGACTGGTAATCTCCTACACACTTTTCTGCTGGGAGTGGCTATAAATTTGCCACCTTTCAGAAGTTCATCTGCAATATTAGAGCCCACTGAAGTTTGATTTTCCCTGAGGAGCTCTGAAATGTGTGATTGCTGCGATGTTGCAGCTGACGATGGACGCTCAAAGCCAAAGTGTGTGAGTTACTAAGCAGAGGAATAAGTTGCAGCTTGGAACTTTTATGACTCAAGCCCATCCTAGATAAGGTGTTTCTTGATGGAGGAGGTGAGGGAAGAACGTTATGTGCAATGGATTACAAAATCTTAGTATTACAGAGTACAGATCTTTCTGCAACAAGTCTCATGGTTGCAAAATCAGAAATTGCTGAGGCTCTGCTGAAGACCTATTTTAAGGTCTCTTGGTCTGCTCGCAGTAGGTCAAAATAACCGGTGTCATTTCACTCCTGTTGTAAGATTAGCAAGACTCTGGCAATACTGTGTAACTTTTGTTGATGCGCAGCAATGAAATAAAAGTTCGACTGCTACGCTCTCAACAAAAAAATAATGCCAGAAATTCAGCTTGTTTAGCATTCCAGATTTAACTTGCAAGGCATGGATTTAAGCTACTAAAACTAAGTCTGGTAGGTAGTGAGAAAAAGTAAAATTTTCTTAGTGCTAAGGAGAAAATTCTTGTTTAAACGGAGAAATGAAATTTATCAGCTGACAACCTTTAAAATCGTCACCCTCCTTGTCTTGCAAACCGTGGCAATTCTGCAGAAGGTGTGTTAAGGAATATCCTGCTGCTTTCTCCCGAAATTGTTTTTGTTGGGGGAGGCTTTCTGGATTTTGAGTGCCATCTTGTGGTGCATTTTAAGGAGAGGTAACCCCCCTGTCACTGCTCATCTGCCAGGGTTTGCTCAGTGGAGAGATGTACCGAGTAGGATTTACCATGGAAAAACATTCATTGCTTACAGATCTGCATTTTATTTTTTTTTTTTCCAGTCGTGCTTAACAGCAGAGATTGCTACTTTTCATCAGTTGATTTTAATTACTTGGTCATGTGGCAGGTGGAATGACCCCTGAAAATGTGACAGGCTGTGGTAGCTTGCCAGCTGCGTTAATATACTGCCTTGTCTTATCTCAGGAGACAGGGCTTCTAATTACTGGTGATATATAATGAATTAAAGAAAAATCTGATAGCAAAGTACATGTCAACTGATGTTCTATTCATTTCAAAACTGCTTTAGTTCCTTTGCTGTAAAATTGGTATCAGTGGAGAAGCTTAAATCTTCTGGTTTAAATGACAACAGAAAATTTTCAGTGACAAGTCCAAGCTGTGAAATTTTTCATTTAAATAAAACTCTGCATAAAATGATGCCCCACCATTCAAAATATCAAACAATTATTTGCACTGAAAGTAAGATTGGAATATTTTTTCTGCCTTGTGTTTACTGGGTGAGCATGGATCACAAGAACCTATTTACCATAGCAGGGCTAAAACCAAAAGGAAGGGTTTGAACCTTTTTAGTCACAAAGATTGGCCCCCAAAATTATAGCTTATGTGAGCATGTGTATGTGCCTTAAAGGATGAATAAAGGAGTTGAATAAATGGTTTGGTTCAGAAGTTTTCTAGAGTAAGACATTTATTGGTTTGGTTTCTTGTTTGTTAGTTGCAGGGTTTCTAAAATTATTATTGTGAGCCCATTTATAGCAAATAAATAAAATTAGCTAACATGCCCAAATATTTAAAATAAAAATAAAATGCTCTAAGAGGGAAACCTCTTTTCTGTCCCCCAATGGAGGCTGCAAGATTAGGAGGGAGCTGACGCAACTGTGTGGCCCATTAGTATCAAAGGTTACTAACACAACTAACAAAACCCATGTGGACAGCTGATCTTTGCTGCTGATTGAGGCAAAAGTTAATGAAGCAGATTAATGTGGTCTCTGTGTGCGAGGACAGAATGAAAGCAAAAGATTTTCTGATGTTCAATACAGTAAAGAAACGTCAATCTAGGAAGAGAAGCTTCACAATGAAGAAAATTTAATAAAACCGCTCAAACAAACAAACAAACAAATGAAAAAAAACCCAATGCAATCTGGCAAGATATTGCTAAAAACAAGTGCATCATGGCAAAATGGGTATGGCCAGAGAAGCTTGGTCATTATCTTACTGTTTTTCAGTTAAAAAAAAAGACATGGTACCTAGATTATTCATTTTAAAAATCCCCCAAACTCTCAAATACCTAAATTCTTAATTCTTGGTTTTGATCTGCTTGCTTTACCCAGTGTGATTTTCTGATAGAGCACATGCTCATGAGTAGAACTCCTCACTTTCCTTGCAGGTGGATGTCACAGCTATTAACTTTAAACATGGTTTAGTGACATCTCTGTGAAGATAACTGAGAGAAAAGGAGCCTTCAAGCGCCTCCCTTGCCTGAGAGCTGCTGACACGACCCCGCCTGTGTTTCTTTTTGGACACTTTCTGCACCTTCCTCTGGACAAGAGCCAGACTGGAACATTGAGTTTTCTCCATGGAGGTGCTGTTAGTCCCAGAGGAACAAAAACATACCTAGTTCTCACCTATAAAAATAAGCAGAAGAGTTTCCAGGATTGCAAAACGTGAATTATCGAGTGGGGTATTGGCATGTTATTTGTGCACTGTGTCAGAGAGTGAATAGCTACGTTTAATTTGTGAATACACATTTTGCAAATGGATTAATTTATCAGAGAATAATTAGAATCTGTCGAGAAGTCATGAAGGCTGAAAGCTTTTGAAACAGAGCAGACATCTGAATTTCATTCCTTGTATGTTGTTTTCATTTTTTTGTCAGTATAGAAGACAAATTAAGTGAGTGTTGTTGACGTACTTGAAGCTGATAGCATCTTCAGATTGTGTTGCTGACGTTCTTTTGTGGGTTTGGTGGGTTTAGTGAGGTTATTCAGAACGTGGGGCTTTGTAGCCACGTTCAAGGAAAGCCTAACAAAACCTCCTGCAAGAAAATGTTCTTTTAAATACCAATTCTTAACCCCTATTTGGACAGAATTTTTCCCCCTTTAGAAGTACATGATTTAATATAATACTTTCTTCACTGCATTTACAAAAATTGCTTCTGTTTGAATGATTCTGGAAAAAAAATTATATATTTTGGAGGTTTTAGGCTAGATTTGCTTTTGTAGGTTGAAGTGACCAGGAGCAGGAAGGCACCATCAGCACCACATTTAATGTGCATGTTGAATGATTTATAAGCAATCTAAAAATATTGAGATAAGGCCATATTATTCTGTCATCACAATATCTCTGTTACATGCAATTTCTTTAAACTTTTCTTTAGGGCTCTTGCTGGGTAGCATTAACTTAGAATATGGCCCAAATTATATATGAAAAAATGAAAGGAGAAACATTTCTTATTGCATTACATAATCAAAATTTAAGCCATTGCTGTTTTTCAACGTTAGCACATCGCCTATTAATATTTTCTTTTTTTTTTTTTTAATCTTTACAGATGATACTTTGGGATTGGGATTTGAAGCAATGGTGCAAGCCCTATTATCAGGTCAGTATATTATGAATTTAATAGGGGGGGTTTTGTGAGATGTGGCTGAGTACAGAGTTCAAAACTGTCAAGTTGTTCAAAACTGTTCAAACTGTCAAATTTCAGTTTTTCTGTTGATGCTATATTTGCCTAATTTCCCCTCTTTCTCTTATATTGTAGTAAGCTCTTCTTATTCCTGCTCAGAGAATTATGCAAAATTAAAATTAATCACTTTTGTTTGGACAACTTTTTTTATTATTTCTTTCAGTAGAATCAGGGTTAATAAAAATTATGCGGTTGTGGAAATTGTGCCTGTGTCAGGGGCTCTAACATTTTGACTGCCAAAATTTGTTGATATTGTTGGAAGAGAAAGAATACTAAGTTTAATGCTGAGACAAAGTATTGAAAATAGAGATTAAAAAAATTGCCAACAGATTTCAAATAGAGACAAACTGAAAGCTAGTGTTGAATTGTGAATTACTTTTTACTGTGTGACAAAAACCTGCAGACACTGCTGTCTGAAAACACATTTTCTTTGAAAGAAATTATGTCACACTGATTTTTAAAACTTATTTTTGTTAAATTTGCAATGCATAAGATATTTAAAAGAAAGAACACCATGAAGTGTTTTGACAGGTTAATGAGTTTGCAACATTTCCATCTATTCCAGGGTGCTGGCAGTGGGAATGGAGTTGATCTCTCGGTTCTGAACGAGGCTCGGAACATGCTCACGGAGCTCCTGAGCGACCCATGTCTCCCACCACATGTGATCTCTTCCCTTCGAAGCATTAACAGCCTCATTGGTGCTTTCTCAGGAGCATGCAGGCCAAAGGCCAGCCCATTCACACCATTTCCTGGCTTCTTCCCCTGCCCTGAAATAGAGGATCCTGCTGAGAAAGACCGCAAGCTGCTCAAGGTCAAATGGCTTTTATTTTCATTCATGTGTGTGTCGCCATTCAAAAAAAAAAAACAAACAAACAAAAAAGCAAAAAAAAACACCCCAAAAAACCAAAACAAACAAAAAAAACACAAGAAAAAGATAGATAAAGGAAAGTTAATCTAGTGAGACTCTCCTGCATCCATAGCAGGTTCTCTACTGAGTACCCATGGACGATGTTTAAGGTCAAAAGGGAGCAGCTGTGAAAACTCGTTGAAGGCAATGGAGATAGGAAATAAATGCAAATTCAAGTGGTTGATGGACAGACAGGTACAAGCACTGGTCTGCACCCTGACCACATCATTCCTCACAGTAACAGCAAATATAAACTGAAGATGTCATAGTCTCATGACACGGGACAAACAAGGCTGTTCTTGATTCTTCCACATTCTTTATCTAACCATTACTGTCAGCGTGGCTTTTTCACTGACCTTTTTTCCCCAAGAAATTTACTCTTGTGGACCACAAGCCAGCCATCATACAGAAGCAAATCAGCTATGTAAAAGGAAAAATATCCCTTCTTTGTCTTCAGCAAATCACTTTGTGAGACCAGTGTAAAATCTACTGTCACTTCTCCATTACTCAGGGTTAATAAGTGAAAGCAAGAGTGTAGTTACTATATGAAATGCTGAGAAATATGGTGGGGAAAAAAATTAAATTTACAATGTAGAAACTCAGCTGCAGAGCACCAGAACCAATAATTCCAGCCCAGTATTGACAGCTTGAGGCTGCTCTGGCACATGCCCTGTAGTTGTTTACATTTCCAGGAAGTGGGCAACCTGGCCCAAACTGATCATCCTGCTGGCTTAGGATTCTGGAGCCTGTTTCAGCCTGTGAAATGTCTGTTGGGAACCATATTTTGGGGGGAAAAACTCGGTGTCTGCAGGTCATTCTAGGGAAGATCCTGCAGAACCACTGAGGTATGAAATTCCTTGTGATGTCACATGGATACCTGCAGAAATACTGGCAGGAATCTCAGTCATTCAGCGTGTTTTTCTTTGGGGATTTCTTTAAAAGCTGCTAAGGATAGGCATACCTTTTGATTTTTAAAATTTCTTTATAGCTAGTCAAAATAGTGTGAAATGAAAAATATTCATTGCCAGAGACCAGTTATAAAGAGTATGTGAGATTGAAATATTACGTTTTTTCACAGCTATTCTCTTTTTCTCCTTCCTAAAAAGTAGCTTTTTCCTCAAGTTTTGGGGATTTTCTGTATAGAAATTTGCCTAGTGCTTGCCACAAGCATTCAATAATTGTTTGGCTTTGGTATATGTTTAAGAGTAAGCCCACATATTTCCCCTTATGTATGTGACTACAAGAGAAAGATTTCTTTTGTTTTAAAAACCAGGTAAGTGAGCAAAAATTCCAGGTTATAACACAGCAAAGAAAATATTATGAAAGTATTTCTTCAAAATGGATGATCTTGAAAGGTTCCCATTCTCTCTTTCCCCGATTTTCAATATAAAAGGTCTCCTCCAAATTTTTTTTCTTGTGGATTATGTACATCTTTATGACTGGCTTCCAAAGTGTGTTTAATTATAATTTTGAAGTGGATTAGGGAGAACTGAAAGAATGCAGGGTTAGATTGGGTATTAGGCCAGCCTGGAAGGGGCTGTGAGCAATCTGTTCCAGGGAAAGGTGTCCCTGTCCACAGCAGGGTGGGTTGGGACTGGAGGATCCTTCAGGTCCCTTCCAACACAAACCATTCTATGATTCAGTGACGAGCTGCCTGCTCTTCCTTTCCTAGGAAAGGAATTAACAACAAGGAACAGAATGTAACTGAAACTGGGCTTCAGACCATGGGCTAGTCATAACTGGTTATCTGATGCTAGCCCTTCCCCTTGGGTTTCTTGGAAGTGTGAATTGCCCAGTATTCAGGAAGAAAAATAATTAAATATGAGACAGAAATCATTGCGAGGCTGCTCTGCAACAGAAACACTCTCCGCTTCCACCAGGACTGTCCTGAGAACTGTCCCAGATTTCCTTGTGTGTGACAGTAGAATGTTGGCCAGCTGGGTGGATTTCTGCTGTTATTAACAGCCATGATTTTATCAGATTTCACAGTCTGGGCAACTAAAAGTTGTCAAGGCAAACCCCTGTGTATGCACAACTCTTACCTCCTGCCTTTGTCCTTGGAAATCCCCAGCTGGTGTAAGATACCATACCTGTAGTGAGGTACCACATCACATTTTGCTAGAAATATTAGCAATAAATAATAATTATTATTATTGTATTACTACTATTTTTAATATTTAAATTTAAAAATAAAATATTTTAATTATGTTAACTCATCATATAAGAATAAACAATATTTATATGAAATAGAATTTTATATCATATTAATACCTATCTATTATTATTATTTTATATAATATATAAATATATAATATATAATAATGACAATAATGTTAATGATAATATTGTTAATAATGTTAATAATAATAATGATAAGAATGATAAGAATGATAAGAATGATAATAATGATGTTGGTAATAATAATAATAATAATAATAATCCCTTCTTTATAAAATTTTAACATCTGCTTTCACTTCCATGGATTTTAATCATGGTGAAATTACTCAACAGGGATTGGGTAGCAGGAGCAGCCTGCCAACCCCACAGCTGAGGCGACCCTCAGGAGTTTCTGGCTTGTCACCTATAGAATCAACATCATCTAGATGGGAGCGCAGTAACGCCGGCAAGAGATCCCATCAGGAATACAACACACCAAGGTAAGCACTGAGCAGCATTTTTTAAGGGCAATAATAAGGCTGGAACTTGGCAGCAGAAGCATTTCATGTGAGGTCTTGTGAACTAAGTCTCCAAAATTCTGCCAGCATAAACTGGAGAAGTTAATTATGCACTACGGTTTGTAACTCTGGTTGATCTTAAGTAGAAATCAGGTCGTTCTGAGGCAAAACAGTGTGCTCTGTCATAAAAAGTAGGCCTTGATATAAGCTTGGGGAGGAAATGAAAAAAGTCCAACATACATGATTGCAAAACAAACTAGTTTTGTCTCTAAACTTGTACTGATTTCCTCCTTCTTTTTTATTTAATATATGTATCACTTGCCAACTTCCACATACCCACACATAAATAAAAAGGTGAGACAATTTTCTTGTGGTTGGCAGCCACTGTTGTGTGTATTATAAGGCTTATTATTCCTCCAGTCATCAAGCAAGGTGTAAGATACATTAAGGTACTAATCTCTTCTCCACTTGTTAGTAAATATGGTGCAAATAGAGCTTTTATTTCTAGAATTAAGATGTCATTCTGATTTAGGATTAAAATTATTTTTTTTCTTTTTGTGTAATGTTTTAATATTAGTGAAAATTCACACTTTTAATTTTACTTAAATGTATGAATGCCTTTGCTTCTGAAATCTGTAAAAACTGTGTGTGGTTTTTGTTTTCTTGTTTTGTTGGGTTTGTTTGTTTGGGGTTTTTGTTTGTTTGTTTGTTCTGGTTTTTTGTTTTGTTTGGGTTGGTTTTCTTTTAAATGGTTCTACATGAGTAATAAGGAAAGTATAACAGATGCATTTTTAAAAAAGAAAACAGGGGTTATGCTCATAACTGGTAACTAGTAATAGTGGATGGAAATTTATATACACACATCCAAGAATTTACTTATCAGTATTATATTTGATATTAAAGTGAACCACTTAAATAATTTGGCCCTTTCAGTGGTCTTCCCCCCTTGAATAAAATATGATCTCTAAGTGTTTACATTGTAAAACTTAATTGTGGCTTGTGCATGAAGTAGAATTGAAGACTCTAACCTGAGCAGTAGTAGTCCTTAGAAGATTATATTTTCATGCTGATTTGGTGTCTGGTGTCCCCTATTGCATCCACTGGAAATAACCAGGGACCAGAGAAATTGCTTTAACCTTAGCAACCGTGGGATTTCTGTTTGAGGCTCAGCCCTCCTGCTGCAGTCTCAAATTTCCGTTTACAGAGGGTTTCCTCACTTTCCTTACTACTCAAAAGCAGCTCTTGGGAACTTCTGTTTTATTTGTATGCAGGTTTTTGATTTGGTTTCTCATTCAAACACAAGCTCAAAATGTAAAATTCTTCCTCACGTTGAGGTGAAGCTTCTCGTGTTTTAGTTTATGGCCATTGCTCCTCCTCCTCCTCCTTCTGTGCACCACAGAAGAGTGTCTGGCACCATCCTCTTAGCCCTCCTTTGAGATATTTATATACATTAATGAGATCCTCTCAGCCTTCTCTCGACTAACCAGGCCCAGCTCCTGCAGCCTCTCCTTGTATGGGAGATGCTCCAGACCTCTCTTATCATCTTTATGGCTTCCACTGGACCCTTTCCAGTAGTTGAAGATACACAGAAATAAATCTGTGTTTATTCTTGAGCTCTTTTTTCGCATTTGTGTGTTTAAACTAGTGATGGGAGATCAAGTATTATTTCTGTGCTGGAATTTTTTTTGCAATCGGCTTAAAAAAGATTAAATCTCTCTTGGTAAGCACTGTTTTCCCCTCCTGAAGAGAAATAGTTTCACATTAACTATTTTCACTTTGAAGAAAGCATACACAGGTATTTTTAATTGGATATTGCATTTCTGTTCACTGAAGGAAATGGAATTTTAAATTGTGGAGTGAAATTTTGTCCCTGCAACAGCAGATGGCAGGATTGAGTAACCGAGCTTAAGGACGCGCTTTGATGTCAAAAACAGCTTCAGTTATAAGTCTATAATAAATAAAACAATTAATTGAACACGCAAAATTTATGTGTCTGTGTAAGGTTTTCATTGTCTTTCCAATGTAATCAATCCTCAGGTCTGTTAGGAAACAGCCTGCTTCAAATGTTCAAGGAAAGAAGCGTGTTAGAAAGTAAAACCTCTCACACAAGGTGTATTTACTGCATCATTTTAGCACTGTGTTAAGGTTTTTGTTGCTTTCAATCAATGCACAGCAGTTTTTATTTCATGTAATTGAATTATTTTCTAGCTGGTTTTGAATGTGACTGCTTTGTCGTATTCTCTCTTTCTTGAATGGTGGTAGACCCGTCACAGGGCAGTGTAGCTATTTTAAAAGCATTTTATTTAATAAAAGTGGAAGACAAACTAGGAAACAAAGAAAAAAAAAATCCTTACTGTTTTTTTTTTCAGCCAAGGATCTCACTCAAATGGGTCTTTTGGTGCAAACTTGCTGACAATACCAAAGCAAAGATCATCTTCTGTGACCTTGACTCATCACATGGGTCCCAGACGAGCAGGTAGGACCACGCAGTTTGTGCAGTAGCAGGATGGGACCTCACGGGGCTTTTTCCACGTAAACACAGCACTAAAATAACATCAGCATGTCCCTCGTTGTTTAAATCCAGCCTTTGTAAACAGCAACCTCTTTGTTGTCACCTGAACCCCGTGCAATGTTTGTTTTGGAAGGTGCTTCTCCCGGCCTGAGCCCCGTGGGGTCACCGAGCCATGGGTCTGTCTCCAGCGGGGCTTTCAGCAACTGGTCACCTGTGGAGTTCCCTGACACCGCTGATTTCCTCACCAAACCAAGCATTAATATACACAAGGCTCCAGGACACACACCTAGCTCTCCAGATTTTCAGCAGCCAGTTAAAACACCTCTAGGTTATATGTGTAGCAGGTACTGTGAACTCTGTTATCATTTCAGTCACTTCATATCGGTCGAAAAGAACGCAATTAAAATCAAAACAAAATTTAAAAAATCAAGACCTGTGCCCCTACTAGGATTGGAAAAGGGCATAAATCTCATAATGATCTGTAACTGTGTTATCCAGGGGAGAATAAAGGATGCTGAGTGTATGTCACTGCTTTGACACAGCCCATCCTCAGCAGCTGTTATGGCAGAGGAACAATATTCTATGGAATTTTAGAAAAGGAGGGTTTCTTACTTGGGGATTGGATTCTGTTTTTCTGAATACTTTCTTAATTATGAGCTCTACTTTAATAATTCAGGGGTCTAAGTCTCAGGGAGGTGATGGTTGATTATTATCTATTATCTATTATTATTATCTAAGGACAGACTAAATCTATGTCTGCCAAATTTAGAAGAAAATACTCAGGTCAATTGTTGAAGGAGCCTTCACAAACTTTTTTTTAAAAAAGTAATCTGCAGATATTTTTCAGTAGAAGACAGAAGTAGAAAAAGAAGAAAATTACTGAATATTGTAAATATTTTTCATGTGTTCTGTAAGCTGTGGACGTCAGATACTCAAGCCTGTTCCAATACCAGAACCAGATTTTGCAGAATACAGAGACAGAAAATCAGGTGGGATTTCAAAATAGACAAATACTTCATATCAGTTTCTTGCCTTTTTTTTTTAAGCCGGTTAAATTAAAATTTTACTGTTTCTACATAATGTTTTTTCCTATATTTTAGCCTACATATGTATTGTAGTTTGTTTTGTGTTTTAGAATAATCAGAATAAGACAAAATATTGCCTGCTTCATAGTAAGGATTTTAAAACAGGCTTCCACTAATGCCTTTATAGTTCTGTACTCCATGTATGAAACCAGAGCTCTACCAACTAAGCTAAACTAATCACTGAACAATTTTTTTCAAATAAAAGCTATGCTTTTTGCTTTTCTTAATCTTCAAATAGTTTTTGTCTAATCAATTTTGTCCTTTATGACTTTTTTTGCATATTTCTTAAATAAAATGGTTTAGAAATGAGCTGTTATTTATATTTCTGTGACAAATCCATATGATCAGTTACAAAATTATTAGACAGTAGTAATTCAAAAATCAGTTATTGATTTAGTATTTCTGAATGTGTTTTCTTTAAGGTGAAATTGCAAGTGCTAATGCCTCCAAAGAATCTTTCCACCATACGGAGAAGAGGAAAGATGAAAGGAAGGAAATGATTGATCAAGCACAAAACAAACTGTTTGTAAGCATGTAATTGCAAAAAAAAACCCAAAACAACAAACTTGCAATAATTTTTCTCAATTCAGTGTTTCTTTATAATTTCTAACTTGCTGTGAAGAGGCCTTTATGTCACTAAAATAGCAATTTCTAAAGGGTTATGGTGCATGGGTGGAATTCAAATTTTCGTTGAACAGTTGTTTATCTTGCATAAATGTCACTAGCAAATGACAGCAAGGGTTGTGATTGTATTAATTTTTGTTGATCAATATTGATTTCTGTGGATTTAATGTTGAGAGGGTATGCTCAAACACCGACTGGCTAATGTTGTCTTTTGGAAGTTTATGAAAGATGCAGCAGTTGCAGTGAGACTTACAAATGAGTGTTCAATACAGTGCTATTAACTTTTTGGGTTTATACATCAGGTGTTTTTAAAGCTTGTCCAATTAACCTATTTTTAAAGCTCAGTAAATCTTTAGTTAGCTTTTGCATATTTTTGCTTTGTTTTATTAATTCATCTTGTTTAAAAATAAATAAGAAGGAAAATTTAGCACCTTCTCAGAAAGCCCTGGAATCTGCTGCCCAAAACAGGAAAGCTCAAGCCTTCAAGTGAGCTATTTGTGATATTGATTTATGATTTTCTCATAGCCATAGTTGCAGCACCATTCAATAAATTCACTAATGATTTATCATTTTCAAGGCTTTTTTTGCCAACACAACTGATAAATTGGTTTTCATTGTTATTTTAGAGATGATAAAGTATCTTAATCTCATACAGGTGGAACAGAGTTCTACATTAGAAACAATGTTATTAGCCCATGATTCACTAATGGAGAAGATGAACAATTGGAACTTCCAAGTTTTTGACCTTGTAAAAGAAATGGGAGATCAGTCTGGAAGGATCCTTAGCCAGGTTTGTTGTCCTTTATTTTATGAGGGAGGGTATGTAAAGCTGTCCTTTATTTAAACCATAAAGAAGTTTTGCAGTCAATATTTATGTGAATGCTATCTTGAGAAGCAGAAATATGACTTTTCATACACTCCATGTCATTGTAAACCATGAAAAATGGTTTATCTATAGAGAATGTGCTCTGTTTTTTCTGAATTTTATCCTCAGGGTGGGTAGGTTAGACTCACACTGACTAGCTTTTGCCATAATCTGCCATTTCCCGTGCAAAATTATCTCCTGCTTTCAGAATTACTACTCTGTTTGCCAGCCATTGCTTTTTTCTTTACTCCAGTAAAATATTTCTGCCAACACCACACTTGTGGGGGAAAGGAGGTGATTTTTTGGGCAGTCTTTTGCCTCTTGATCCTACAAACAGTGAGATTTTTTTTCCATTCTGCTTTCTGCGTGTCCCTTTTATCTCTTCCTGACTTACCCCTAAGCTCTTCCGTGCAGTTTTGTGTTTGCTGAAGCCAAAACTGCTGGCAGGTGCAGGAGTAGGATTCTGTTTGCTCTTACCCAGCTTTTCCCACCCATCAAGGTCATCTGGAAGCTTCTGTCCCCTTCTTTAGAGTGGATTCAGCAGTTCTGATCTGACCACTGAACAGTTTTATTTCCAGTATCTTGGTTTTCCACTCTGCAGTGATGTCCCCTAATTTTGCAGCTCCTGTTCCTCTGAGCACCTCCCATGCTTCAGAACTTCTTGTTCCTCTCCTGTGTCTAGGAAAAAAAGTTATAAAAATGAGTAGAAGCGACTTGTTTTTATTTTTTAATTTTTTTATTTTTAATATTTGCAGCTTTTGGGGGGATTAGGCTTTGCTAAGTTCTACATGTAACCCATAATATACGATTTTTATACATACATGGATATTCTGAGTACCTTTTGGAGATACTTCTTTATTTACCAGCTCATTTTGTTAAAAACACTCAAGATAAATCATAATAAATACACAAAATAGGGCCTTTTTGCCAAAGTCTCAAAAACAACCACAGCACTGAGGGGTTGGTGTTGTTTGTTTCTCTTTGTTTTGTTTTATTATTAATGACTCTGCTGTTATAATTAAATAATTAGAAGTTTTGAATAAGTCAGAATATAAATTTCTTCTTTTTGGGTCACTAATGGAATAAAGTGCGACTTATTTAGCCTCATGAAAAATTTTGGGGTATATTATTAAAAATCATAATTGTTGTGCAAAAAGCTGTGCATAGAATTATCAGTAATGAAATAAAATCTTTTATTATTATTTATTGAGAGGATCATATAAATCCACATTTATGTGCTAAAAAATTATTAAATAGATCTCTATGACAATAGAATTCTGATAATCTTTAGTGGAATATCAGCGATTTCCATGCCTGTCAGCAGAGAAAATTCTAAAAACAAGAATATTTTTAAAGCTGAAAAAGCAGAACACGCATCGGTACACCTTTCAGACTTAAATTAATTTTGATCTTTGTTTAGGTAACTTACACCTTGTTTCAAGACACTGGCTTGTTTGAGATCTTCAAAATCCCCACTCAAGAATTCATGAATTACTTCCGTGCGCTAGAAAACGGCTACCGGGATATTCCCTGTAGGTACTCCCTGGTTACACACGGAATTTGCTGGGTGCTTTTGTATTTGTAGGCTGCTCATTTAATTCATTTGATGAATGCACTTGGCAGAGCTTAGGACGGGTCTGATGCATAGCTGGACAAAGCGGGTGGGCTCTAAAACTGGGTTTGTTCATTTGGAGTTTGACGGTAATCTTAAAGAATTCGAATCAGGAGTTGAATCAAACGCACTGAGCTCAGTGGGAGGAGAGCTGCTGATTTAACAGAAATTTGGGTGAGGTCCTTAATAAAATGAGAAGGAAATAGAGAATTTTGATGGTATTCACCTTGCTGTGCAGGGCAGCCAAATTTATTGGAAAACAAAACAAAAAACCACACTTCTCCACTCCACAGATGTTTGCCCAGGTGCTTGTAGGTATCAGATTGCAGGCTATGCTTGTTTCTCACCATTATTGATTTAAAAGGCCATTTAATCTCTTCCTGAGGCCCAAGTAGGATGAAGTGTGTATAGACAACATTTGATGTTTATCTAACTGCCTTCTTAAAAATGTTCAGTGATACACATATCTACTACTAACACTTAAAATTCTGCTTTTCCTTTCATATTTCATAAAATCTCACTTACAAAGCATTCTGTACGTTTCTCTTTTTTTTGGTTGTTTTTATTTCTCCTTTTGATGGCATTTCAGATAATGGGTTTTTTTTTAATTGTATCTTTCTGATTTTCAGATCACAATCGTATCCATGCCACGGATGTGCTCCATGCAGTGTGGTACCTGACCACACGGCCCATTCCTGGCTTCCAGCAAATCCGTAATGAGCGTATAATGGAGGCTGAGATAGGTATGTACCCACACAGGTTATTTTTGTTCTGCTGGAGAATGTTATCATGAAACTACAGCAGGTAAACCAAATTACTCTGGAAGAAAATATCTAATTATTCTTATGACTCGGTTCTTTTTTTTTTGTTGTTCTTTTTTTTCTTTTTTTTTTTTTGTACTTTAATATGAGGCAGTAGAAAAAAGAATCACAAAGCACACACCGTTCAGAAATATCATGCAATTGACTTTTAGAAAAATTATTAGATGAGTAATGGTTAGTTTGTTAGCCAAGAAAACTGGTTCACTTAATAAATTTTCTATGCTGAATGAAACCTCTGTATTCTGCCATAGTCAGGGTATTTTTAGCATTTGAAATACATTAGGCTAATATTTCTTAACTTTATTGGAAAGTTAAATAGACCAAGGAAAAAATACCAAGGTATTTAACTTAATTGAAGTTCCCCTTAATGGCTTTAGTAGAAAAATTAATATTTTAGAATTCTCTGTTAGGTATCAGATGCAGATTTTGAAATACTGAAGTGACTACCCCAACAGTAACTGCATAAGAGTGTCCCTGAAAAGGAAATAATACCTCCAAATTCAAAATTTGTGTGAAGTTACTGCCAATGAAACTTGCTTTTGTACTGTCTGTGACTTCATAAAACTAACTGTTAAATTTAGAATTTGTCATTTTTACCAAATTGTATCCTGTAAGTAAAGGATAAAAAAAAATTACTGCAAACATAGGCTTTGATGCTAAATGGTTTGTTTTTCAGAAAAATGAAGAGGGGAAATCAAGCACTCTCCAAGAACTCTGTTTTATATGTGTAGTAGAAAAAGACAAGACAGAAGTCATGTGGCTTTTAAAAAGCTGGAATTTTCTCTTTTTTCCAAGTGTGTCCATATCTATTGATTGCACCCTATTGTCTTTTCTTTCTCCAAGTGTTAAATGGGTTGGGACTGGACACTTAAATGGAGAAAAATGATAAAAATAATTTTATTCTTCTCTACAAAAAAAGAAAAATTATTATAAGAAATTATAATCTTACTGCTTGGTAACTCTTCCAGTATAAATATTTTCAGGCTTTTAATCCTTGCTTAATCTATTAAGGCAAAGGAGATGCTTTTATATTATGCATTGATGAAATAAATGCTATTCCTTTTCCTTTCTTTTAAAGTAGTGACTTTGTCCATGGGAAAGAGGATAATAAAACTGAATCTTCTTATCATGCAAATATTTCTAAATTAATGGAGTTAATTCCTTTTGCAGTAGTTTCCACTGTTCCCCTCCAGGTTTTCCCGTAGGTTTGCAAGTTCAAGGAATGGGAAAATTATAGAAATATTAAGGAATGTGCTGAGTAATCTTTTCTTGGACTAATTCAGGTTGGAGACAAACAGTAGAGTGCTCTGTTAGTACCACAAATTTGCAACTCAATGGCACTTCAACTTTTTTTTCAGAATTGTTAGTTTATCTGTAAGCATTATTATGACATTTTCTTTTTTAAAATGTAATTCTTTGCCAATTATTCAGCTTCATGACAGGAAGGATAACTACACCATGTTTGCAACAACATCTGGCTGTTTATATGTATTTACAACATAGTTACAAATATGAATGTAATACTGTTCTAAAAAAAATTTAATCAAATGTTTGGTTTTTTTTAGATGAAGCCAGTGGAATCGCCCCAGTTCAGGTCAGCTACACTTCTTCAAAAAGCTGTCCTATTTCTGATGACAGTTATGGTTGTCTGGCATCAAACATTCCTGCTTTGGAATTGATGGCTTTGTATGTAGCAGCTGCCATGCACGACTATGATCATCCTGGACGTACAAATGCTTTTCTAGTGGCCACAAATGCACCTCAGGTAAGAACCTCTTCACACAGAAAATTACTTGGTTTTGCCTGAAATCAGTAGAAAGATTTTTTTTCCTAAAGTATCCCTAAGTAAATTGTTTAGGATTTAAGTATTTAAGGCCCAATTTAAGAAATGGGGAAATCAATGTGTACTATACTTGTGTAATATTTTTGGTTTTCTTTCCTGTTAAATTCTGATGTGTTTTGTATGTACTGGTTGTGCATGCATGTAGAAACAACTTTCAGTTTGCAAAATTGAAAACAACAACATAAACCAGAGCAGGGTAAAGGATTATTTCACAGAGAGCTGGCCCTAGGTCTGTTTAAGCAGTTATGATGGCTGTTTGTAAGTTACAGACAAGAAACTTAAATAATAAGAACATCAACAACAACAATAGATGAGAAACTGGTACAGCTTCTTAGGAGATAAAGACTTTGAAAGTGAACTTTCCAATCAGTTTTCAACAACTCATTATTACAAAGAGAATTTAGGATGTAGGCACTTACGTATTTCTGCTGAAAAAACCATACAAGGAGGAACAAAACCAAGCAACACAGACATCCATCACCAAGGTTCAAAATTACAAGCATTCTTTGAAAAACTGAAAAAAGCATTGGCAAAATGAAGTTTTTTTTCAAGTTCTGTTTAACCTGTATTGGATTCATTATTTTCTAGGGTGTTCTATATAACCATGGAAACTGTGAATAAAGTCTGCTACTGTTTTTATGTTTCAGTTAGCTCATTTACAGTTAAAATTTCTGCATCAGTGTTAAACATAGCCCTTTGAAAACCAGTGATACTTTGCACTGTTTTCCATTATGACAGCTCTTGTGTGTTTTGGAGTCGTTTTTGTGGTGGGATTTTTAGTTTGTTCTGGTTTTATGTTTATTTCTTTGTTTTTGTTGGTTTGGGTTTTTGTTGTTTTAGTTTTTCGAGCACAATTATGAGGGATTAAAAGCACATACTTAGATTTATTTTTTTACCTTGTTTTCCTTTTTTCATCACTGTGTGATGTGAAACACAGTGCTCCACACATACACTGCGCAAAATCTCAAGTGATTTATGCATGAGCGCCTCCAGTCTGAATGTAGCTGTCACTAAGACATTGTTAAGAACTTTAAAAGAAATAAAGAATTTTGCTAATTATTAAGTCTGGTGGGGGTGTTTCCCTCATCTGTCTTTTTTGTGTCACTTTAATCCCAAAATTAGAAGATGAAACATAATTAAGTTTTTTTTTATTTTTACCTAATGTTGTTTCTGATTAACCCTTAAACTTCAGAATATTTAATTACAACTTTAAAACTGTGTCATTTACGATTCATTGTTTGTTTCATTCCTGTAGGCTGTTCTCTACAATGACAGATCAGTCTTAGAAAATCACCATGCTGCATCTGCCTGGAATCTTTTCTTATCACGACCAGAATACAACTTTTTATCGAACCTTGATCACGTAGAATTCAAGCGCTTTCGTTTCTTGGTGATTGAAGCAATCCTTGCCACAGACCTCAAGAAGCATTTTGATTTCCTTGCAGAATTTAATGCCAAGGTTTGTTCCACTTTAGTCTCTGCACTGATCTGGTCTTGATACACCGATGTCATCATCGCTTCTCAGTAACTGTTAGTTTTAATTATCGGCATTTAAAGTTTTATATTATTGAAATTTAAGCTGTTAAAATGCAAATAGAGTATTTCCTTTGTACAAACCAGCTGTAGATGGTTTGTAGATTGCCTAATAAGCCCATGGCTGAAGAGTTTTAACTGGATGTCTGTGCCTGCCCCAGGTCAATGACATGAACAGCAATGGCATAGAATGGAGCAATGAGAACGATCGCCTGCTGGCCTGTCAAATCTGCATCAAACTGGCTGATATTAATGGCCCAGCCAAAGTCAGAGACCTGCACCTGAAATGGACTGAAGGCATTGTCAATGAATTTTATGAACAGGTGGGTATGGAAAGAGCAATTTTCTCTTTTTAATGATGGGCAGATAATTGTTTCTTTGTTTTGCCAGTGGTTTAACTAAATTGAGCTTTGTTCCTCGTTTTAAATCTTCAGGTAAGGTATATCCATTTTCTCATTCTGAATACTGAAATATATTTTCACAGGTAGCTTACTAGCATGATCTTTTAGTTTCTAATAATTGTGTTAGAAAACAAGCTTCCAGCCAATATTCTCCATTTTTCAGATATTAGGGGATTTTTGAGGGGGAGAGCTTCTTTCCTTAGGATGATGCTGATAAATCAAAATAACATCTTTTACTTTTGGGAGTTAAGTTCACAGATGTGTTTCTAGGTGAAAGAATATGTACAAAATCCACAAGACTGAAAATGTTCAGCTCTAAAACTATCAGGTCCATGGAAGTGCTGAAATTGTAGCTCACATTTTTCAATGAGCAGCTGTTCAATGTTTTTCTCCTCCAGTTTATAAAATGGGGGAAAAAACCAAAACAACAAAACAAACCACTTTACTCTGGATGTTAGAGCTCATTTCATTGTTCTGTGGCATTGCAGGGGATGCCATTACCAGCAGGCCTTGCTGTGGCTGGTGACTCTGACACTTTCTCTGTTCAGCAGCTCAGCAGCTGAAGTTGAATCTCCGCCTCCTCTGAAGCCATCCTGTAAAGGCAAAGGAATAGAAGCACCAGCAGAACTAGTTCTCCATCCAGACACAAACTGGAGGGAGGATTATGGACTGTGCAAGTCTGAGCCATAATGTGTCTTTATTTTAAATTGGCTTAATTTGAGTTCACTTAGTCTGTACATTTATCCTCCCCAGTAAAGAGATACAATCCATGTGATGGTTTATGGAATCACAGAATATCCTGAGTTGGAAGGGGCCACAGGGGTCATCAAAGCCAAACTCCTGGCTCTGCACAGGACACCCCAAGAGTCTCACCCTGTGCCTGAGTGCGCCCTCCAAACACTCCTTGAGCTCTGTCAGGCTGTGACCACTGCCCTGGGGAGATATTCCAGTGCCATTCTCTGGGAAAGAACCTTTTCCTGAGATCCAGCCTAAACCTCCCCTGGCACGGTTTCATGCCTTTCCCTTGGGTGCTGCCACCTCTGACTGGAGAGATCAGTGCCTCTCCACGCGCTTCCCCTCGTGAGGAAGCTGGAGGTTACTCGCTTCATTAAAAGCAATTTTTAAAATAACAATTTAAAGCTAATTTTGTGAGAAATTCTGATAAGTTTTTTCTCATTTATTTTTCAGGGTGATGAGGAGGCAAGTCTTGGACTACCTATAAGCCCCTTCATGGATCGTTCTTCTCCACAGCTTGCGAAACTGCAGGAATCTTTCATCACTCACATAGTTGGCCCCCTTTGTAATTCCTACAATGCAGCTGGGTTGCTTCCAGGGCAGTGGGTTGATGAGGAGGAGGAGGATGCAGAAAGCACTGAAGATGATGATGGTGCACAGTTAGAGAGTGATGATGAAGAAATGGAAGATGATCTTATTTTAAGTAAGTTCCTGTGTTTGACTCGGTGCTTAGTTGTCCTCCAGTAGCTTCAGACATAACAGTGAGAGTTGAGGTTGTGCAGTACAAATCTTGTAGATTTTGCTTTTATGCTGCTTCATACATTTTTCTTCTCTTAATAAAAATTTAGTTGCTACCAGGAGACTTGCAGTTTAAAACAGAAACTTGTTGATATCCTTTGCCATGCCACTGTTTAAATATTCAGAATAATCATCCATGTGCTTTGCTCAAATTTACATCTCTCTTGCAATGTGCCACTGGTTTTGTATGTGTAAAATACAATTACTCAGAATGTCAAACAATCCAATATGCTTATCCTTTTTTACAGAAGCTCAAAGGAAAAAAGGTAGACGGATATTTTGCCAGCTAATACACCACCTCAGTGAAAATCACAAAATATGGAAGAAGGTGATCGAAGAGGAAGAAAAAAACAAAGCAGAAGGAGCCAACCTGCTGACTGAAATCTCATCTTTACCTCAAGCAGATGACATTCAGGTTATTGAGGAAGCTGATGAAGACGATGAACGACAACTAGGAGAAGACAAGACATGCTAAGGGAACTCCGGTGGTGTCCAGTTTGTATTTCTGCTGAAAAAACAGAAATTTAAAAAAAACAGCCTAAGTTTTTTTCCACTGTGCTGACTTCAGCCCGACGCAGTTCACATAAAATCGAAAGGCCTTAATACTGTGAGAGGATTCTTTTTACTCTGGTGGAATCCCACTCCTATGCACTTTCGCCACACAGAATATGGAACTTTATTCAGAGATCGAGTATTGTACGCCCTGATGCAAAGTTCTTTATGCCTTAGTTGGTATAAAATATCCTGATATAATGCTGCCTTGCTGAATATGGAACTCTTCTTTTCCTTGAGGTACCTGCAGTTTTTAAAAATAAAACAAAACAAACATTCAGTGACTTTGATTACCAAAGTGGCAAGAACTTTTCGCTAACAAGGAACCGCGGGATGAATCCTAATGTTGTCTTGAGTTGCTTATTTCATGTTGTTTTTGAACATGAATGAGAAAAAAAAGTCTGTGCCTACATGAAAACGATGTTACTGCTGCAGTGCAAGCCTGTTGTGGGGTGTCTACTTAGTGCAGTAGTGTGCTTCATGTAGTCATCTCAGAGCAACCGTTCAAGGACTGTGACATAAATGCTGAATTCTGATATTTGTGGTTTAAAAGGAGGAAAGAAAATCCAGGTGCATCTATTTCTGATGCTTTTTATTATTGTGCATAATCTGATGTTTTATTTTTGCAGAAAATATTCAGGTTTGCAGTGGATGTTTATGATAATTCATTGAATACAAGGCCATTCTCATCTGTTGCCTTGCCTGTTTTGTGGTAGAACATTAAAAACCTGTTCAGCTACTTAAATTATTAAGGAATTTTATTCTTTTAGTCATAAGTAATGTTGTATTTCCTGCCCTTACTCAGGTTCATGTTTAAAAACAAGTCAACCACATCATAGATTTTTATCTTGCACCCATTTCCCATATTAAATTTTAAGGAAACAAGATCATATCTCATTTATTCTTTGTATGTAAAGCTTTAGGAGAATTAAAGATTTTTTTTTTTAAAAATACATAAACTACTGTTTCAAAAAGGCTATTTTAATTTGCCCCACACTTTTTTCTTCCATCACAAACACAGCTTTTATTACCTTCAAGTTTGATCTACATCCTGAAATACACATATGGAAATCAGAAGGTGGAAACTTTGTGTAAAGCCTGATACAAGATAAAAATCACTGTACTGTACTGCATTTTAGATTGTTGAGTTTTAAAATAACAAACTTACACATTCCACCCCAATGTATTTTTAGAAACACTACCATTGTAGGTCTAATTTGTAAACAAACAAACAAAAACCAAAAAAGTCATAAATAAGGCTACAGGTAAGCAAGCCACAGGTAAGCCTAGTTTTAAAAGTGCTCCTTTTAGTACTAAACCTTTAAATGCTGTGTAGTAGAACTGAATAAAACCCAAATGCACGTGTGCTATTTCTAAATGTGTCTCAGCATATTTGTGTTTGCATCAATTGTCTTGGAAAAAAAAAAAAAAGATAACCTTGTGTAAACTGTATTACACTATTTTACATAGAAGTTCATTCTGTTTCATTGGCCAGTTAGTTTAAATAACTGAGAGGTTTGGGGTTGGTTTTTTTTGCATTTTTCACTAATAAGCCTTTTGTTGATGCACTTAAAAGACCACTGAAATGTGCTTTTGCAATATCTTCAGTGCCAAACTCCCCTTTGCTGCCATTATCACTATCACTGCAGTTTTTTTGTAACATGAGCAGTGTTAAACCAGATGTTTCTGTCATTAATAAAATGTTGCACTATTGAAGCTGGCACTTACTGATCCTACACCTGTATTTTACATTTCTTTGATCATATATTCTTCTTACAGATAATGTGAAGAATGGAAAAATTCTGATTCTTTCAGTTTGCTGTATTCTCAGCATTTTGTGTTTAGATAGTGTGTTTGAGTACATAAAACGTCATTTTAATATTGTTTAATATCATTTTGCTTTATCTGAAAAAATGATACTAATTAGTTTGTCTGAAGTTACTGTTCTATTATTTTACATGACAAGTTTCCATTTTTAATTTCCCTTAAAATGTCATTATTTAAAAAATAGCAAAAGTGTAACAGGGTAAAAATTAAGATTTTATATTTTACTAGAGCATTGGCAGGACTTAGATGTGGTGACTTTCTTATCTCAGGTTTCTTTTAAACTCTTCAGGGATATTGAAGGAATTTTAAAATCCAGTAACAAGCAGCAAACCTCAGTGTTTAATAAACTATAATGCCAATATGTATTTCCAATTAGATATTTCCAAGTTACAACAGCTTGCTTCAAAGATACATTTTAATTATGGATGTGTTCTAAATCCACTCTAAAGTGCCTGTTTTTTATGTGTGCACAGTGACCAATTGTTACTCTAGGAGCAAAGGGAAAAGACTGGAAAAAGGCAGGTTCAGGGAATGTTTGCAGAAGTGGGTGTGGCTAAAGGTGTCTTAATTCTGTCAAAAATGGTAATGGAGGGTCCTCTGAATGTTGATTGAGCTGTTGTCCAAAATAACGTCTCTCCATGTAAGGCACATCATTCTTAAATCTGTGATCACACTTCAGTAATTCACAGCTGACAGGGGATGCCAAGTGGTGCTGAAATCCACACAAAGGAACGCACTTAAAACACTTTCTAACACAACACTACCTCTTGTTTTTTGCTTTTTCTTCTTTTTTTTTCCAAGAAGTGGACTAAATTAGCCTACACTGAAGTTTATGCCACACAGAAACACAACTTTTATGTGTAATTTTCTCAGGTTTGTGTTTCCCCTCTTATTGCCTTATTTTACAACGTGTGTTGGATTACTTGTGCCCATACATACAGAACTAGAACCTACCAAGTTTTCTATAAGGACAAAATTCTCTCTGAGCTTGTGGAGTCCTCTGGATGTGAAGGAGATGCTAAACCACTCAAAATGAAAAACCTGGTACCTCCTCCTGTGACTTCTTCCTCCATGACTTCCTCCAAAGTTAACAGTGAGTGCAAGGTTCAGAATGAAAGGAATGGTGTGGCATTGCTTAAGGTAAGTCCAGACTAATGAAGCTTGTGTAAAACCTGATTTGCTCTGTGCATAGAAGCATTTCTTTGTATTTACATCCAGTCTTAACCATGACCAGTGGCAGGTGACTCAGCAAAAGGAGTTAGCAGAATTCAAGAGCTCAAAGCTTTAGCTTTGGTGCTGGCTCCTTGTGTAGATGTAGTTGAATCTTGGCTTCTGGATCCTTTGGAAACATAGACAGAATCTGAGGTAATCCAGAGCATGTTATTGCCCATGGAGGGTGTGGGGTCCCCCTCACAGGAGATACTCCAGCACCATCTGGGCACAATCCTGTGCCATCTGCTCTGGGATGACCCTGCTGGAGCAGGGATGACCCTGGTGGTCCCTCCCAGCCTGACCCATCCTGTGATTCTCTGTGGCACCAACATTCACATGGCAGCACTTCCTCTTTTGTCCAAAAAATCATTTGAGATGTGCAGAATTGTTAAGTGTCTCATACTTACAATGGTGAGAGCAGGAATCCCAGTCTGAGAGATGTTTTGGGCTAATAGGATGGAATTAGCTCGGATGATGAGGACTAGAAAGAGGCAAGGATGGCACAGACACACAAACATACTGAAGATATTCAGAAGAGAGACACTGTTTATTGCCTCAGGCCAGTTGGTATTCAAAATACTATATAGACAGTATGTCTTTTTCAGTTCAGAATACAAGGGTTTTTAGAAATGAAATGAAAATGGTAATGGAAATAATGATGCAATTATCACAACTCAAGCTGTGATACAAGGTTTAGGAAATTGATCCTTCAGTGGCCAATAAAGATTAGATGAGATAAAACTAATATAAGAAGTTGATTAAATGAGGTACAAAAAGTATAATCAAGATAGTATCTATTTTGCTTTCTTCCTCCAGCTCTCTCCAGAACTGTGTCTCTGGACAATGTGCTGCTTCATTCGTGTCTATGTTAAGGCAAATGAGGAAATTAATTACTTTCACTTTTCCAAAGAGGAATTTTCCCTTTGATATCTTCTGAAGTGAGCCTTTAATTTGCCATTAAATTATACTGTGGATTCCCTGAGATGAAGCTGAGAAAAGAACACAATTTGTAACTGCTCCCTATCTGATCTTAGTTTAATAGGGCTATATGCAATCAGTTTATTTGTCCTCTGCTTAATGAGAAGGAACAACACATTTCTAGAAGAAAGAGGAAAGAAAGCTGCTACAGGATAAACATTCCATTGCCCTTGGCTTTAGGTATGTGATTCACACTTACTTGGTTCTGTGTGACACTTCAGACACCCTTCAAAAAGGGCACAACACATCCAGAAGTGTGTGACAGGAAGGTTTCTTTTGGAATCTCTGCACCAGGAGTCATCTTTTGATTTCTGGACTTGCAGAGATCACAGCTGGTAGCAACTGGTGTCTGTGGTAGCTTGCACTACACAGACCGTGCTACCTGGCAGAGTGTTCTCCTCTGGAATCTCATGGAGTGAAAATCTCCTAGTGAGGTGAAACCTTCTGTCTGCTGGTTTATCTGTGGGGTTTCAAAAGGAGGGGGAAAAAAAGTAACATTTAACCAGTCCAGCCTTCAAGTACTGGTGAGAGACCGCGGTGTTTCAAATGATCCCCACCATTCACCTTGTGATTTGTCCATGTTCTAAACATCCTGCCAAAAAACAGGTGATGAGTCACTTCTGACTCATCTCTCTGGATCAGCAGAACCCTTTGCACCTTGAATGAGATCAAAATATCTTCATTTTAATTGCATATAAAACAAAAGGTAATGCTTAGCTTAAAATGCAGGTATCATACCCAAAATACTGAGGATAGAGTTGACATTAATTATTGCACAAGAGTGCAGATTTTGTCCCCTGTGCCAGTCAGATGTGAAAACTTGCTCCTATATATAGTCATTCAAATGGGCTTAGCATGCCCCTTTCTTTTATCATGACATTCATCCTACTAGAATTTATTATTCTGTAGTATTGCCAGTTTATCTGACTCATATTAACTAAGCTTTCTTTCAGTCAAAAAAGTGGAGAAGTAATAGTAAAACTCTATCTTTTGACAGTGGGTTTGTAATAATTTAATTCAGTCATTACCAAAATCCTGGTTCTCATTTCAGATGCCACCCCCCAGGTTGCAGAATTACAGTACAGACCAGTCAGACTGATGATGTGGCCTGAAGAGAAGGAGAAAGACAAAATTAATCAAAAAGATTTTTTCCTAGTCTAGAGAAAATGAGACTTGAGTGAGATATTCTAAGGTTACCTAATGAGACTGTTTCAAAGAGTAATCAGAATAATGCTTTCAGTGTTTATAGTGTTTAGGACAAGAAGTAACACCTTTAGGTTGCAAGGCTCAAACATGACTGATTGTCTGAGGATTGAGGGGGCTGTGACTCACTGAAATAGATTGTCTTGGGCTATTAAGAAAGTCTCTGCAAATAAAAAAGAAGTCTGAAAAACAGCTTTTAGTAAAACTGTTAGTGGACCAGATGAGTGAACTGCATAACTTACTGAGATCCTTTCTGAACCTATTTTTTAAACACTAGGGCAAGAGTAGAGGTCTGATATGTAAACTTTAAATACCAAGAAGAAAATGTGCACATTTATAGAAATAATAACATTCAAACAACAAGAACTGGAGACATCAACTCCTTTATTTCAGTAAATATTAAAACCTTTTTATTTTAAATATGTTTGACCCATAATTCATCTCTGACCAGGAAGAGTCTTTTTATTTATTGAGAGAGCTAGAATCCTCTTGAAAAAATAGACAAGATTTGAACCTTAGCCAGAGATAAGAATCTGTCTAATTGTCAGATTGTGAATAAATGGAGAGGCAGTAGCCAAAATGTTTTTTTTTAAAAAAATATGATTATCTAAAGTTAGTTTGCTAAAGCTAGTTGTATTTTAAATATTTGTCAAGCTGTGTGGGCCTTTCTAGATCTTAGGAAAGTGCATACTTAAGACATTGGGAGGTGCTGGATGCTTTAGAAGATGATGTCATTCATATACTTAGCAAAAGAATTAGTTTAAGTGAGTAGGGAGTTTTAGACAAATTTCAGCTCTTAGCACTAAATTTTATTCCAATCAAAAATGAATTATTCTTACAGTCTCTATATAATCATGAAGTTCATTATGGCACAAAGAGCTTGAACATTTTATAGATTATACCTACAATTTGTGGTGAAGTAAATGCAATATTAATCTACGTTGCATTTTTCTCTATAGTGTGGCAGTTTAGACTGTACATTCTTTGAGAGAGAAATGGTGTGTCTTTAAAGAATGTAAAATAAAATGGAACAAGATTTGAAAATGCCCTGAAGTTCCTTTATGAAGCAATTTTTATCCTTCCAAAAAAGAGCAATTAAATTAAGTTCCTAAACTATATCAGCTAAAGAGCGGTCCTAAGTACCAATATTTTTCCTGAAAAAATTAGGCTTATAAAGTCCTACTGTTATTATTATTATTATCATCATTAGCATTATCGTTGTTGTTATTGTTATTTTAGTGTTATTATTATTAATTCTTTTAAATTGAACTTATTGTGTAAATTAAAGAGAACCAAAACAGCATTTTGACTCCTTAAAGGGGGATGCCTGTGGAGAAAGGAAACCTAATTACCTGAGAATAACTGGAATTCTTTTAAATGTTTTATCCACAGTGATTCTATTCCCTAACTTCCATTTCTTACTGGTTTGAAGCTGTACCTGTATTACCTGTATTAGTGAAGGATCTGAGTAATGAGGCATCCTTTATCCCCATGTTTTGGTGAGGGTATAAAAGTCCATGAGACATGGATGGGTGGATCCTGTTCTCTGAATGCTGATGGGCCTAATGTGGATTAGCATCTTGAACAAATTATCTGTAATGTAAAAAGCTTTTTAATACATAATGGGGTTTTTTCATGCTTCTGATAAACCATAGTTTACAAAAAATTAAAAATATTTCCTTTAATATTTTTGGCATGAGTGTAGAAAAGGAAGTCAGCAATTGAAAACAGCAGTAGAATAAACAGCAAGTTTACTCTGTTTTCTAGAATATTGCTACAGGCTGGTCTACATCACATGTAAAATTTCTGGCTAGCAGCCATCTGCTGCAGTAATAGCAAGATATTGGATTAGATTGCACATTCCTGATATACTCCCATTATTTTAATGTGTTTAATCTATTTGGAATGTTACTTATTCGGAAGAATGTAACAAATGTAACATCTCCTGAAGCCTGGCAGTCTTCTGAAGGAATGACCACTCTGAGTGTGGGCTCTGCCTAATTCTAATGACATGGAGAGAGTTGACAGCCTTCAAAAATGCCTGAAGGGATAATCTAGAATGGGGAGAATCTGCTGATGCCAAATTTACATTGTTATTAAAGGACAGAAGAAGGGAGAAGATTTCCAGAGCTGTAGTTTAATTCCTGAATTTTTATGTTTTCATATCCCATGCACTATTACAAAATTTTCACAGTCTAATTTTCACTCAATTTTCAAAGGGATTTTGCTATTTTTTACTGTGTTTTTCTCTGAGCTTTCTACTTTTCTCATGAATTTGCTGTCTTCATGATGACATAATCTGCCTCATCTACTCCCTAGTGCTTGCACAAAACCTTAAGTTCAATGCAGGCTCAACCCATTCTGGATATATATGAAAAGATATCACAGTAAGTTTAAACTATTTACATTCAGAGAAGCAGCAATGTTTTTTTAACTTTTATCAAATCTTCCTTTGTATAGTTAATTTCTGAATTAATTAACTAATGAACCTTCCTGCATTTATTAGGTTCATACTAAGGATGTGTTCATCAGCATCACTGAAACTGCTGGAAGTTCAGGAAATTAAGTGGTAATGAGTGAGATTTTTCTTCAGCATTTTTTCAGTGTCATATATGACATGCTTGCAGTGTTCCCTTTCCAGACTCTGGGGATGCTGACATGGCCAAAAACAACCCAAAAAAATTAAATGTAGGGATAGAGATTTGGAAAGAAGGATTTAAGACACTACAATGGTTCTGACTGCAGTTCTTGCACCAGTGTTATGAAGATACGCTGGTTAATACATCAACCTTTAATCCAAAACAATGTTAAATGGCAGCCAGCTGCTATCTATCCTAGATATTTCAGCTGGAATTCTCTGAACATCCCACCAGGAAATTCTGAACATCTGGCTGGCTGCTGTAATCAGTGTCGATACAGTGGAGAAATTCCAGAGGACTAGAAAAAACTACTGTTATGTCAATATTTCAAATTATTAAATTGGATCATTAGGATAATTCTAAGTCAGAGGGAAAGTAATGAAAAAGTTGATAGAGAATGAAACATGTAAATATGACTAATACTGATACACATTTAGAGAAAAGACAGTTTGTCAAATGTATTTGATTGCTCAAATGAGACCATAAGCTGGCAGATAATGGTTAGAGTTTGGATTGATATTCTGAGGCTTTTATAAGGCATTTTGATTTAGAAACCAGAATGACATATAATCAATATGGTTCTCATTAAATGGATTAAAGACTAGCCAGGAGTTAGATCTCAAAATACCTCAGCCAATAACTGGTCAGCTGCATTTTGAGCATGGATCCCTGTAAGAACTGGTTCTTGATGATTTTTAATCCTCCCCCCACTTCAATTAGCATTATTTGAGCCATGTTGTAACCAGAAGGATGGCCTAGAACTCTTGCAAGCCAGAAAGCAAGACCAGGTACTGAACAAACTCTGATGTCTGCTCTAAGAGCACAGGGTTGGGAACAGGAAGAATTGCCATGAGTCCAAAACCAGTGCTGAGCTCCTCAGGGCTGCTTCATACTGAAGGCACCTGAGCTCAGCAGATTACACAATTCCTCCTTAGGCATTTCACAAGCACACAGCATCTGCTTGGTACCCAGAGAAAACTTGATCATGACTCCTAACCCCACCACTTGCCAATGGCTTAGAAGTTTATTCAGTTTTCATGCTGTGCCCAATGCACAGCAATCAGGTTTGCCTCCTTCCTCTCTTTTTTTGAGTTTTAAATCTTCTCCACAAAAGGCACTTTCTCAGGAAGTGGAGCAGCCTGCCCAGCCTCTCTTCAGAGAAACAGGAACTTGTGTTAGAGCTGCTCTCTGTGAGACTTGTGGGTAAAATAATCCAGACCTGCTGCAATCTGAAGTCAACAGGCTGTTACGTGAGTGGACTGGTGTTAGCTCGCTTTGCTTTTTCTCTTTTGCTCTTTCAAAAGAAAGGAAGTATTTCTCCTGAGTATGAGCTGAAAATATCAGGTCAGCAGATGAACACCAATTCCTGCCTTTCAGCCTTCCTGCAGCTCCAAGTTGCAGCACTGTCTGTGTAAAAAGCCAGGTCAAACACTCACTCCTCAAATAGCTGCTTGCTTGTTTTGTTCTGAACCCTGTCCTGAGGCCCTCTCTCCTAAATTCTGAATACTGTGTTTGGAGTTCAGCTGCTCCTGCAAAGTCTGCAGACACAGGGCTTTATCTACCAATAACCACAAAGCAAGAGCTGGCAAGAATAATAAATGAAGGTGGCAGAAGTGTAGCCCTTACACCTAAAATTTGTGCTTAAAATTAATTTAAAAATCTGTTTTTCCCCATCCTATTGCACTTGCCCTCCTCAAAAGGTCTCTCCTCTGGTCAGAAGGGCGAGCAGTCTATTTTCTTTACTCATAGTATAGTTGCATGTGACTCTGGTAACACAAATACTGGCTTTTTCAGACTATTTAAGCAGAGATTAATCATTACACAGTACTTTTTATTGGGAGGCAGTGGAGGACGGGTGTCTGGAAAGGCAATATACTGGAGAAAAAAAGCCCTGTGATTGTCAGGAGTATGGCAATAATTGAACACTTTGTGTATGATGCTAAGTGAGAAGCAAGACATAAAAGATCTTGGAAGTGAATTCACGGTTATCTGATTAGCTAGAAAATTATGACCAAGTGGGAAGACAGGGAAAGGAGAAAGAAGGATTAAAATGCTTTAAAGACAATTTATTTTTTTAAGGCTGGAAAATATAGTCCATTCTTGGTTACAGATATTTAAATAGACACCTTTTAAAGCCCTTTTAGCTATGAAAATTTAATGGATTATTATAAAGAACGGCTTAGCTGGAATAATGTAAATGATATTTCCATGGATGAATTCAAGCATAAACATTTTGAACCATATTCTCCATGCTTATGAAAGTGTCCTCTCAAAGTAAAATGTCTTGCTAAGTAATTAAATATTTAAAACCTGTATCAGAAGTTAGATTCAATATAGTCTTCTGGAGTGAAAACATCACTTTCACACAGGATGTGTTCCACACTTTTAGTTCGCGTTTGGTTTTTTTTTCTGTGAAAACCAAGTAAAAGAGAAACTATTAGTTCTTTAAATCTTTGTTTTTCTGGCTTGAACACGTTTAGGAATAGAAGGCAAAGTGGATCCTGAGCCGTAGGTGGGAGCACTGTGCTCGCCCTGCCCATCTCAGCCCTGCCCTTCACCGCCTTTCGGCGCAGACGAGGTACGGCTGTGGTTGTAAGGTCATCCCAAATCTCGGCTTGAGCTCTGGGATCACCCCATGAGGAAAATGCAGGTGAAACCGTTGTAGCAAGGAGGTGAAAAACAGAAACATTTCCATTCGAGCCAGCTGTTCTCCAAGACAATGCCTTCTTCCTGAATTGAAAAAAAAAGGTTTTAAAAAGATTTAAGATACCTCCAGTCACATTTTTGCTCTTATGATGAACAGAAATGGTCATTTCTGTGTTCCAGGAGTGCTGTGTGAAGCTGGTGGCAGTATTTTGTAAGAAGGGTAGGTGATAACTTACACTAAGAAACTGATTTTAGAGAATTTGTTGCTCACAAATGCCTTTGAAACCAGTTCTGTTTAATTTATTTAGATGCACTTGGTACTCACTGTATCTTTTCTTGAAGTGCCAGTCTAGATAGAAGATGCTTTAAAAAATGACATTGTGAATTTTAGCCTTTTCCCCCTACTATTTTCTTAATTACATCTATTGTCAGTCATTATTAACTGGCAATTATTAGAACTTTGAAAGGAGAATTCTTATTAGTTTATATATAATAATGAGCTCATCTGTATAAAAGATATTATGCTAAAATTTGTTATCTCCAGAGCGCATTATATTGAATATCTTTAAATTGAATTATATTGGATATCTTTAAATCAGAACTGAGGATATCATTCTGTCCATTCACTGTCATTCCTTACACTTTACACATGTCTGGATTTGTGAAAAGGAACAGTGGAAGGAATTGCTCTTACCTAGGGAAAAAGGAATAAACGCATCTTTCTTGACAAACTGCCCATTACTGTCCAAAAACCTCTCAGGAAAAAACACCTCTGGATTGCTCCAGTACTTTTCATCAAAGTGAACAGAGTAGAGGTTTGTGATGACCGTGGTGCCTCCAGGAATGGTGTAACCACGCACAACAGTGTCTTTGGAAGTGGCATGGAAAATCCCTAGAGGGACTATGTTACAGAACCTCAGGACCTCGTGGAGAACAGCCTCAGTGTAGGGCATCTTGCACTTCTCTTCCAAGGTGGGCATTTTGGTCGGGCCAATGACAAGATCAATTTCTTTTTGAACTTGCCCTGTTAGGAATAAAAGCTGAGGTTTATTTTGTAACAGCCTCTACATTTTAATTTAAGCTAAAGTATTTGTGCATGTAAACAACTTTCTAAAAGAATATTGAAATATGATGTACCTTATATAAAAAAAAAGTAGCTTAGAAGCTTTTAAATTTAGACTCTATATTCCTATCCATGGTTAGTGCTGTTATTCCCACTCTGAACCAACAGTGAAATTGATATTAGAGAGATACTTTTTGGTCAAAGTACCAGTAGTAACTTCCCAAATTATCTGGGCCTCTCTTCCTCCAAATCCTGGAAGCCCCAGCTGAACCAAGCACTGGTTCAGGTTTTGGCAGGAGAAATGGAGGCAGTGAAAGCAGAAACGTGACTGTTCACCTCTAGAATCCAAACTTCTCCTCAAAATGTCTGGGCTAACACTCAGACATCTATGGCTGTCTTACTTAATGACTGTAACACATCTTCTTAAATGCCATTTCTGTTCTTCCTAAAGTCTAAGTATTCCCATCTATCCCATGTAAATCTGTTGTGAACTGCGGCATTTAAGTTAAAAAGAATTGTACCTAAATTGTTAACCATAACCTGATTTACATTTTTGCTGACACTCGTATGTTTTTAATTTAGTTTATTACTTTCACATTTAATTACATTTTCTTATTATTTATTAACTACATAGATTAGTATATCTGCCAACAACAGATCATGCATCAAAATGCTGAGCTTAAATATACTAGAAATACTTAAGAGTATTAAAGCTTCATAAAAATGTATTCACAAAATAATATGTTAAAATTTTATCACGACACTTGACTTTTGATATCCTTTTTGTCTGCATTTAAAATAATCTTTCCACCTCTGCCCATAGCATATCTGGTAAATGATACAATAGAATAATATATACAAAGTTTTTGGGTTTTTTTGGTGATGATTATGGATCAATGCACCACTTTGAAAAAGCATTTTAACTTTGTAATAGGAAAGCAAATCAGTTCCTCAAAATGTCAAATTTCTTACCTTGAATATTGGGATAAAGAGCCATAAATAACACTGCCCATCTTAAAACATTTGTTGTGGTTTCTGTCCCAGCTATGATGAGTTCTCCAACGGAGAAAATTAGATTTTCTCTTGAATATGTAGATTCTGGGTCATTTCCATTGCAGTCCATCTCATCTAAATATGCATCTACGAAATGTCGAGGTGACTGAGGCTTCCTATTTTCAGAGACACGTTCAATAAGCTCATGAAGAAACTCATAGACTTCAGCTGCATTTTTAAACAGCTGCTGGTGTTTCCCAAATGGCAAGATACCAATCCAAGGAAAAGCATTATATAAAAATACAGAAGCACTAGCAGCTAATTCAATGTTTTCACTAAAAATCTCAATCATGTGCTGAAATTCAGTATCTTCGTATGTGAAACGTTCTCCAAAAATAATCAAATTAGTAATGTTTGAAACAGCATTTGTTATCAAGTGCTTAAGATCAAAGGGTCTGCCTTTGTATGTATCAATGGCATCAAGAAAAAACAGAGATTCTTCTGAAATTTTGTGTTCAAAGGACCTTTGACCATATCCAAAAATTCGAAAGGTATTTACAGCTAATTTGCGGTGTTCTGTCCATCCTCTGCCATATTTACTGTTCAGTAAGCCTGAAAAAATATTTTGACAGTATTTTATGCAATGCTTTATTTTTCTTCCCCCATAAGATAATAAAATTATTTAACAAGACTAAAAATGAGACAAAATATTTCAGACATCTTGCTGTGGAACACAGTCCACAATCCTTTCCAAATAATATCTTTAAAGAAGCATCAAGCACTTTACGAAAGGACATCAAGTAGAGAAAATGGCTAAAGCAGATGCTTCACGTGATTTGTTCATCTATGGGACAAAAATTACTCTTTTGTACAGAAGGCATTAGCACTCACCTCCCATGTTTGTCAGCTTCTTGAACAAGGGAAGAGACGGCCTGTCTGCAAAAATTTCACTTTGATGGACGAGGCATTCCTTCACTGCATCATAGCCATTCAGCACAACAGCAGATATACCCCCGAGATCAAGGCTGAAGATCTTTGGGAGGGGGAAAAGAAGGGAATAAAAGGTGTCAAATGCTATTAAACCCAGTCTGGAGAACAAGGAAGGGAAAACTGAAATAACACTAAGCATCAATGTGAAATGAAGAGTTGAATAACCTTCAGCAGGGCACACAGTGACCAGAGGTGGGACAGCTGTGACGTTACACACATCTGTGATGAGCTAATTTGCTTTGTTAAAATATAAAATTAATTATAGCCCACACAACATTCTGTGCTTTGCTGTGCACCTAAAGAAACCAGTTCTCCAAATTAAGGACCAGGGATGCTTTCATTTAGTCCTTAGAGAGGAGTGAGAGCCAAAGTGACAGCCGACAACTGAGAGCAGAGCCCAGCGAGGCCCAGCTCCTGTTTCACAAGTGGTTAGCACAAGGTGCTCTGGAGAAAGGTACAATACAGCCTGCAGAAGACACATACAGGAGAAAAAAAAATAAGATAAATCTGAATCTACATTTTAAAAATTAAATCTGAGTCTAAACTCAAGAGTGAAACCCTAGATCCCTTTCCATACATTCCCTTAGTGTTAGAAATCTGTAATTTTGCCATTACAAATCTTTAGATTTTTCTCCATGTCAAAGCTGGTGACCTCCATAATATGAAATTGTGTTAGCCTAATTATACATTCTGTGACAACTGGGTTGCCACCCAAAGGGCTGTCAGGCACTGCAACAGGCTGCCTGGGGAAGTGGTGGAGTCGTCATCCCTGGAGACATTTAAAAGCTGCATGGATGTGGCATTTGGGGACAGGAGTTAGTGGCAGATTTGGCAATGCTGGGTTAACAGCTGGGCTCGATGATCTTAAGGGTCTTTTCTGACTTAAGTTGTTCTATGAGTCTATGGCTATTTTATTTTAGCAGACTTGGTATTTTCACTGTTATAACAGCTCTTCTTTTTTATGTGTCCAAGAAGACACTCCCAGTATATTTCTGCAAACCATTTGTGAGTTTTGTATACTACGGTCTAGCTTATTTATCTTTATTCCTGCATCATACATGTTTGCTTTTTTTATTAAAACCTTTGGATTGTATTTTCCCAAAGTCTCCCAAATCCTAATGTGCTGTTTCCAAGTTCCCCCAAGTTCTGCAGGATCCTTTTGGACAGTAGATGACTAAAACTCCATACAGCATTCCAGGCAAGTAAAAAACTTGCTTAACATATTGGACAGCACATTCCCCTTCCTATTTCCGTTCTTCTTGTCCTAGTATTTTGCTTGAAAAGCATTTCCTTGTTTGGTTTTTTTTTTGTTTGTTTTGTTTTTAATTACCAAAATGCGTGTTAGAGCTAGCTCGGAGTTAACTTTTACGAAGCTCGTAAGAGGAGATTGGCTGCTTCAAACGGGCTGATGGAAAGAAACGCCCGAGAGAGAAGAAAGTAAAAAAAACAAAAAAATAAAAAAATTTTAAAAAAAAATTAAAAAAAAAAAAAAGAGAGAAGGATCTGTTTTCACATGGTTACGCTAGTGGGCTGTAAGTATCTGGAACATCTCTCTGAAGGTACTCGGAAGCGCGGTTCCGCCGGAGCCCTGCGCTCCCGCTCCGGCCGGGCCGCTCCGCCCGCCGCATCCGCCCCGGGCCGGGCCGGGCGGCAGCTCCGGCGGGTCCCCCGAGCCCGGGCCGGCCCTCCCCGCTCCCGCGGGGCCCCGGGGCGGCGGTACCTGCCCGTGGATCTGGCTCTGCCGCCGCAGGTAGACGTGCGGCTGCTCGGCGCCCAGCGCGGGGATGTTGCCGAGCAGCGGCAGCCCCGCGGGGCCGGGAGGGAAGCCGGGCGGCCGCCGCTGCTTCAGCAGCTGCCGCACCACCAGCGAGAGGAGCAGGGCCAGCGCCGCCGCCAGCAGCAGGAGCCAGGTGCCGCTGCCCGCTGTCGCTGTCGCCGCGCCCGGGCGCGCCCCCGGCCCCGCCGCCGCCGCCCGCATCGGCCCCGCCGCCGCTTCCTCCCGTGCCCCGGCCCGCCGGCCCGCATTGGCCCGCGGAGGCTCCTCCCGCCGCGCCCGGAGCGCTCCCGCTTTCCTGCCGCTTTGCTGTGGGCTGGGGTGGCGTTTTCCCCGGCATAGTGCGCGGGGTCGGTCCCTCGGGGCTTGTGCGCGCTGGAACGCGGCCGGCCGCGGCAGCTGAGGGGAGGAACCGGCGGCTCTTTGCTCCTTGTTAGGTCTCTGTGGAATGTCAAACGCACGGTTTCGAGGTGTCTTTCCCAGACAGAGACACTTCAGGCTTGGGGGGCCTCGGGCCGATGAAGCCCGCTGTGATTCCCGCCGCCACATGTGTACCTGACAGATTTCTGGGGGGCGGGGGTGGGCGGCGGCCCCAGGTGCGATGCCCGTGATTCCCCCTGGTTCCCCCGGTTCCCCCCGGTTCCCCCTGGTTCCCCGTGCTGCACAGCCTGGCCTGGCAGCACTGAGCAGCCCCGGCCAGGCCGGACAGCAGCAGGAAAGGCCCCGGAGTCCCCCGCGGGCAGCAGGGAGGGGAATGTCCCCTGCCCGTGTGACCAAGCAGCGCGGAGATCACACACAAAAGGTGCGAAGGTTGTTGTTACTCGGTGGGATGACGGCTCAGGAACGAGGGCTTGAGCTGCAGAAGAGGTCAAGATCGGTAGGGCAGAGGTGAAAGAGCAGCGTTGCTCTGCCGTGTGACATTCTTGGCAAAACACTTCAGAAACAAACCCAGATTTGTTTCCATTCACACTGGTTTTGTTATTACGTTAATACTGTTTTACAAGCAATGTTAGGAATAACAGGAACATTCCTGGCCCATTACAATTTCTGTGCTGTGTGTTTTGAACTTGAGATGTCTTTCTTGTTGAATTCATCTTAATAGGTGTACATAGATTTTTAAGAATATTGATAAGATCTAAACAGATGAGGAATTTATGCTGATGGAGGCCATTAAGAACCAGTGTCAATGCCAGCATCCTGTATCAAAACCTTACCAAGTTTGTCAGAATACAAAAAAGTAGCTTGAGCCCTGCTGGAGGTTTATTTTTTTCATTCTTCTTCCAAGTTATTTGTTCATCCTTTATTTCAGTGTGATACTGTCTTAATTATTTGGGTCACATCTGCAAAAAATATCAGTATTTTCAATGTCAGTGCCTAAAGTATGCTCACCAAAGGGCAGGAGATTCAGGACCTCAGCTTGGCTCCAGTCAGAGGAAGAATGAAGAGAAATTGCCAAGGAGTAAATTAAGATGTGCATGTGCTTAAGTATCTGAGAGAACATAGGAAGAGGTACTATTGCTTTGATTTATTTTTGCATCCTGTCTTCAATGCTCTGTTATTTAAGTGTTTAATACCCAAAGTTTTAGATGACCATGATTTCCACTGCATCTGTGTAAGAAAAGAAAGGTGATTAACAGTTCCGGCAGCAAGCATTTTGAAGGGGGGAAAAAAAGGGAAAAAATAGTATAGGAAAGACCCAAGAAGCAGGGGGGTGGGAGGGGAAAATTCAGAAGAAAAGTCCAAATATTTGACTAAAAAGGAAGGAATAGAAGAGAACAGTCAAAACTGACCCTGCTGTAGTGTTTGAGCCGTGAGGGTGGAGAAGAGACGCTGATGTTACCCACTGTAACAGAGGAAGGGAAACTGAAGAGGGTGATTGCAGAAAAATAAAATCCATTTTGGTCAAGCCAAAAGCTAAAAAAGATGGTGAATCAACCAAGATTAAAGGTCTGAAAACCTTTAAAAGATGTGTGATTAAATGGAGGTAAAAAGCACCAATATGGAAAAAGAGGACTGAAACTTGTCAAAAGGAAGTGATAAATAAACCCTTGTAGACAGATAAAATCACTTAGGGATGCAGGTTTAGGGATGCAAGGCTCCAGTTGCTGTCCAAGCACAGGATTCCTTGCCAGGTTCTGATTGATCTTTTTATTATTTTTTTTTCCATCCATTCATTCATTCATTCATTCATTCTTTCATTCATTCATTCACTCATTCATTCATTCCTTCAGAAGTGTGTAGGCAGCTTGTGCTGAATTGCTTCTTTGGAAATGTTTTATTCATCTTAATCATGGATGGTCAAATGAGCAAACTTATAGGATGAATAAAGGCTTTTTTATTTCAATTAGAAAAATGATGGCTGAGTAAAGAAACCCATTAAAGTATGTATCTTTATTAAATTAAATTCTAAAACATTCTAGTCATCAAGTTTTAGAGTTACTTTGCACTGGAAATTCTGTAAGCAGAAGTTGGAGTAACAGGAAATGATTGTGTTCCTGTCCTCTCAAGAAAATCAGAAAGCAATTATTTGGCTTTGTAATATTTGACTACACATAATTATATATAGCTTTGACTTTTGAAGAAATAAACTGCCAGGTGTGGCTGTTCTCTGAGTAGCAATGTTAAGACCTTGATGATAACTCTGGGGAGAAAGATTAAGTTGTTTCCAAGTTACATTAAAGATTTCCCAAACTTGCATTTAGCTACAACTTTGAAAGTTTTCTGGTTTTCTTATTCTTCAGAGTTGACACTGTAGCTGGAAAACAAGGTAAACCTTTATCAGGTTAAAGTGTTTTCCATTCCTATAGTAATGTTTCTTTGAAATCATGATGTGATTTATAAAATGCAGAAAAATAATTCTTTGTAGACAGGTGTGTAAAGATTTTGCTCCTTGCCTTTGATGGTGGATTGGGGAAAAGAGATCTTTACAGATGTATGTAAAACAGGCATGCTTGTCATGAAAGAAATTCATTTCATAAGCCCACTGACAAGTTTAGAGTCATGTGCAGATGTTATCTATTACACTCACAAAGCTTTTTAACCTATGTCATCATAGTGAATGATCAACTTCCATGGTGATTGCATGG